TGGCGATGGTGAGGGCGAGGTCGGGGTTGCTCGTCTGCCCGTCCGCCTCGAGGATCTTCTCGATGCCCTTGGTGATGATGCCGGTGGTGTAGAGAAGGACGCCGAGCTTAGTGGCCAGGTAGACGTCGTTGGGGGAGATTCTGGAAAAGAGGTGAGAGGGAAAAAATACAGAAACTACAAAACTTTTTTCCCGAACTTACTCCGTAGCCCTGCGCAGAACAAAGATGGCCGACTTGAAGTCCATCTCGGCAATCTGACACTTCGCCAGCGCAATGAACGGCTCCACTTGACTGGTATTCTGCAGCGCACTCTGAAATGCCTCCTTCGCCTGCGCCGTAGCGCCAATGAAAAGCAGCGCATAGCCGTACAGCGTCCACAGCTGCCAGTCATTGTGGGCCACCTTCAGGCCCACCTCCTTGATGATGTCGCAGACGTTCTGGTGCTTGCCCAGAATCAGCAGACAGCGGGCAATGGCCTTGATGTAGTTGGTGTTGTTGACCGACTTTAGTAGATTGAACTGCTGCAGGGCGCTCTTCGCATTGCCCTGCCGCAGCTTAATGAGGCCCTTCAGGAAGAGGCAGTACTCACTTTCCACAGCCAGGCGGTCCATCTGCTCGATGCAGGCGGTGAAGTCGTTCTGCACAAAGTGGGTGTGGTAGAGCCAGTTGTAGCGCTCAAAGGGCAGCAGCTCCTTGCCGAAGGGGTGGCGGACCAGGCCGGAGGAGGCCAGGCCGCTCTGGCCGCCCGAAAGTACGGCGCTCTCCAGGTCTTCCGACATTGAGAAATTGCTAGGTCACTGTTGATACCAGAAAAAAACACTTAAAATCGGCTTAAATTGAGTATCTTTAGTGACGTTCAAACGCTAGAGAGCTACACAGCAGCTGTGTTTACAAGATGGCAAACAAGAACAGAGCAGTTTTTTGGGGCTGAAGCGGTCGTCATGGAAACAATTTTGGTGCTGGTGATTCAGCAGCAACAGCCCTACTGCTCCTTGTTCCAGTTCTTCATAATGTTGATCATCTGATTGGCCTGTGGATTGCTGGAGGTGCGCAGTATCTTGATGGTCTCGTAGAGGTGGTCTCTGCAGGGCAATTGAAAAAGACACAAGTTGAATTGCAAAAACTTTTTTTGTAATAAAACTCACAGTGGATCATTGTTGGCAATGACCATCTGAAGGACGCCCGCAGCGGCGCCTCGCTTTCCCTCCCAGTACTCAGGACTCTTGTCCATCTTCTCGAGAATGTCAAAGGCGCGCAGTGCCACCAGAAATTGACCCATCTGAAAACGCAAAACAAAGTTGAGACAAATGCAAACACATCTGAAATCAAATCTTTTTGTCCCTTTTACCTTGTAGCAGTCATTGGCAATCAGATGCAGCAGGACGGTGGCCTCCTTTGAGTGCTGATACCGCAGAAACATCTCCCAGGCCTTGCCCGCCTTCTTGTTCATGATCACTGGTGGGATTTTTAGAACAAAAAAAATCACACATTTCATCATCGCCAAAAAACATCCCACCAAACACTTACAACAACGGATCAAACTGCAGATGTACACCAGGTCGTTCTTCGTCCACTCGCCCTCGACCAGCAGCAGCGCCTCCTCCGCCTCGCGGTAGTTGTGCGCCATCATCTTCGCCTGGCCGTAGTTGAAGTTGAAAGTGTCATCATTGTAGAAGTAGCTCTTGATGGAGCTCAGGTAGAGGACTACCTCCTCGAACTGGCGGACGAGGAAGAAGTAGGAGGCCATGCACTGCCGCCCCTGGATGGTGTCGCACTCCGCCGGACTGCTCCCAATCAGCTGGTAGTAGTGCTGGGCGGCCTTCAGGTGCTCGTGCGAATTTCCACTTCCTGTACTTTGAGATGCATTGGCGTTGACAATCGCCTTGAGGATGTACTCGTTAGGCAGCTTCGGCTCGAGGTCCTTGATCAGCGAGGAGGCCTCCTCGTTCTTGTCTGTAACGGGTAAATGAGTAAACATTGAAGGAAAGGGAAAAAGTGGTCGGTACCATTCTTCAGGTAGTAGATGATCAGGTTGAGCTTCGCCTCGGGAATGGAGTTCATGAGCAGGGGCAGCACCTGAAAGGCGCCCTCGCCGCTGCGAAACACCACCAGGTTGTGGCGGATCAGGTCGCGAGCGTAGGAGAAGTTGGCCGGAAAGGAGTCGATCAGGTTGCGAAGTTCACTCTGGAAAAAAAGGAGTTGCATCATTAAGCTTAAAATCAAGTTCAAAATCAACCTCAGCGGCCACTCCATTGAAGAGGCGGCAGTTGTTGCAGGCCTTCAGATTGCCGGCGATGATGCTGCTGGGATTCTTTGCCAGATACAGTGCGAGTACCTCCTGCGAGACGTCGTAGTAGTCGAGTTTGTAGTAGCACAGGGCAATGTAGA